TGGGTGTGCAGAAAAGCCTGGCTTAAGCTTAGATTTTTATTTTGATGGACATGGTGTGTGGGTAGGCGTGTGCACGCGCGAGTGCATGTGCATTTGCACATGTGTGGGTTAGTGTGAGTTGTGGAGAGGCCCAGAGTATTGATCTGAACTTTTTTTCTATGTTTATCCCATCTTGATAATCTAGTCTTATGGCTTTAAAAACAATACATATGCCCCAAGGATATCTGAATTATACCCTGGCCAGGAACTCTTCAGAGTATATATCAGACTGGCTACTTGCTGTCTTCCCTTGGCAATAAGAAAATCATGTCAAACTCAAGTCATAAATTGAGTTCTCACTGTAGACACCCAGCCTGTTCCTCCCACAGCCTTCTGCCTCTACACCAATGGTGATTCCGTTCTTCAAGGGCTCGGGCTGAAATACTCAGAGCCATTCATGGTGTCTCATTGCTCACCACCTCATGTCTTGTCAGCTCTGTCGTTGAACCTCGTCCAAATCCCACAACCCCCACTGACCCCACCCAGCCCAGGCTCTCCTGTTCTCACCTGGACTCTATCTGTGATGACCCAGCTTCTCTTCCTCCTTCCACTCTTGCCCCTTCTCTCTCATCTTTTCAGGATTTTCTTCTGTGTCAGCCCAGGTTACACKTCTGCTGAAAATCCTGCAGTGGTCCCCATGTTCCTGAGTTAAAGCCCAAGGTGTGCCCGTGCTGAGCCTGCCCCCTCTCCTCTCTACTTGCCCTAGCCACACTGACTCTGAGCTGTTCTTTGAATCTGTCATGCACTGTCCCACCTTGGGGTCTCTGCACAATTGCTTCATCATCTGCCGGTTTTCACTGCATTTATTCAGGGTCCCATGTGGACGCTGGTGGCACACTGAGAACAGGATGGCTTGAGCAGGATTTACTATAAACTATTTACAGTTGGGCTGTTCCCTAACTTGGAAGCAACTGGCTGGAGCCATTAGTGTCTCACATAGCCCCAGCCCCTGGGCTATCCGGACAACTGTCCCTATGGTAATTCCAAAAGAGGGCTTCATGGTATCTCTAGGATGTTCTTCCAGTTGTCACCTCCACATTCTGCAAGTTTTGAGGGACTCGATGGATCTTGCCAGGTTTTCAGAGAGCAGCTAGGACTCGTATTCCTGCTACCTGTGGTCCTTAGGTGCTCTGGGGCCTGAAACACGGAAAATGGCGGTTGACCAGTCAAATTGATGGAAATAATACAGTTTTCCTGGTTATCTGCAGGGAACACATTCCAGGACTCCCAGGGATACCCCTGAACCAGTGATAGTACCAAACTCTGTATCTACAGTGTTTTCATATACTGTGTATACATATCTGTTATTGAAGGGTGACTAGCACCCCACCAGGGTAAGTTCCTTCTCAGAAGATGTGAACCACCTGAGAAATGAAAAGTCTGAAATAATTAGTAAGAAATAGAGACAGAGCCAGAAATCAGATAGAAAGGGGAACACCTGATAGGTCCTCCAGTCCTGATAGGAGTTRGAAATGGACAACTTAAAAATGGCCCTGATTCTTTATTTAATGGGGAGCAAGTACATCAAAGGCAGGGGTAAGGTTTCAGTGGGTGGAGTCTTGGCTTGGTGCTTGCTTGGTGCTTGCTTCTCCGTGTGGCAGAGGTCTTGCAGTAAACAGGTTGATTGGCATTTTGACAAGCCACATCCATCTCCAAGAGGCTGTGTGGCTCCAGCAGGTCACCCCATCTCCCTTGCTGTGTTGAACTTGTGATAGAGCTAGGTCAGAAGCCACATGAACCAAGTGTTCTGCTGGGATTTCCCCATACCAGACTTTCCTGCCTAATGGCTTCAATAGTGTTTTAGTTCACACGCAGTTCACTTATGGGTCATGGGTGGCCTCTGGCAACCCACGAGAAACTTTAATTTGTCTATTAAAACTTGTAAGACATTAACACCAGCAATAATGGAACAGAACAACTGTAACACAAACCATAATCAAAGGTAAAGAATAGAGTTACCTTAGATTAGGTATAGAGGGAAGTGAAGGGAGGGGAGGGGAGGAGACATGGGCATAGGAAGGAGAGTACAATGAAACAGATATCATTACTTTATGTATACATGTGACTACATGACCAATGTGATTCTACAACATGTACACTCAGAAAAGTGAGAAATTATATCCCATCTATGTATGATATATCAAAGTGCATAAATGCATTCTACTGTCATGTATAACTAATTAAAACATATAAAAATTTTTAAAAGGTATTTAAAACATAAATTATTTATTTCTGGGATTTCCCCTTTCATGTCTTCATACCGTGGTTGACTGTGGGTGACTAAAACTCAGGGATGAGAAACTGCATATAAGGGGGACTACTGTGGGCACTTTGCTCATGGGCAGTGTCCACTGCATCACAGGTGCCACCTGCCCAGTGCATGTCAGGATGGATGATAGAGAGAGCAGGGAATGTGAGTGGCTGCTGCAGCCAGCCTGGGATTCACAGCCCAATGGGTATGARAGAGAGTGGGTATGGTGCAATGGACAAGACTACCCCGAAGATTCCTAGACTCTCCTGTGACACCCAAACCACAGTCATCCATGAATACTCATATTACGCAGGTCTTACATGACAACTTTTATTCATTAATATCTGCTTACCTTTAAATGGTAGGTGGCTTCTGAATTGTACTGTTGAGCATTTCTGCTCCTATAACTGGTTTAATTTTTGTGACATGTAAGGTATTTGATTTAATGGGGAAAGTTCAAGCTTTGGGAAATATTTAAAATAATACTTTCATAAAGAGAACATCTGTCAATGTGCACTTCACCCTCCGAATCATTTGCTTTGAAAAGCATGAGCTGCGATTTCCTCCCACRGTGGCCCCTGTGCTCCTCAGATGGTGTGTATGTGAGGAGGATGGGACAGTGGGATGGGAGAGAGGTGAAAATGAACTGCTCAATGGGTTCCAGGGTCTTTACTCTGAGCATTTACCTTTGCTTTCCCCTTGATTTTGAGCAGAAATTATGTCCTCCTGAATTGATCTGGACTCTGACTTTGATATTTGTTTATACCAGGAACTATTCAAAATTTTAAGTAGAGATTTGGGGGAGGTACGAATTGATGTGTTTGCCAAAATTAAAAGGTAGCAGGAGGTAGTGCTAAAGGAACATGAGCAAGTCCTGTGCTTTACAGGTCTTTGCTACTGTGTCAGATGGACTCATCCCTAAGAGGTTTGATCACTTTGGGGTAATTTATGGGTGTGGTTTACCCTATTTCCTGCCATTATTTTTTGCATTTACCTCTAAAATACTAATTTAAAGAAAGAGAGAGAGTGGGCAGTAAAAATTGATGCTCTAGCTCATTGTGTTTCTAGCTTTTGATGAAATCCAGGTGGCTGGACAGAGGTAAAAATTGGACTACAATGATTTGTTTCATGCTAACTCTGCTGAGTCAGTTTGCAGAAGAAAAGTGAAATTTAGTGCTTCCCCTGACTAATACATTTATTATAAAATTAAGACCAGATTAGCCTTTTTGAGGTCATCCAGGCTCACTCTTCATGCCCTCAGATTGTCCTGTGATCAAAGTGCCTGATGAATCAGTGAAGCTCAGTGGCCTATAATGTACAGCCCTCTTCTAAGGCAGGAAGAACCGGAAATTATGTTGAACAATGAAACACCAACTGTCTCCTGATAGAATGTGCTAACTTCCCTGGGTTGAATTTTAACAAGGGGGATAGGGAAGAAGGGAAATGCTCCTCTGCAGAGAAATAATTTAAATTCAGCTCCTTTGAAACTGTGGTATTTGTTCTCTTCCTAATCAGAGGCTGTTTTTCATATTTAACTCCTGTTTTTCTTCTTTACCCTTCTTTTAAAAATTATTTATTGGTCTTTTAAAAAATTTATTGGCTCTTTTTAGTTATACAAAACATTAGGATTCATTTTGACACAATTATAATAAAGAAACGTGGAATATAATTTGTTCTAATTCAGTCTCTGAGACTTCTCCTTTCCCTCCTGTCTTCCCCGCTCCTGTTCCCTTCCCTTGAGTCTACTGATCTTTCTGCTATTTACTTAGAGTGTGTTTTAAAATTAGTGCCTAAAGGTGAGATTCACTTTGGTATAGTCATATATGTACATAGGAAAGTTAGGTCAGATTCATTGCACTGTATCCAAAAATCTAAAATCAGCATACTACAATAATGCAGCCACATCAATGTGTACAGCAGCACAATTCACAATAGCCAAGCTATGTAACCAGTTGAGGTGTCCTTCAACTAATGATAGATAAAGAAAATGTTTATACACACACACACATACACACACACACACAGTGGAGTATTACTCACCATAAGAAGGATGAATCATGGCATTTGCTGATAAATGGATAGAATTGGAAACCATCRTGCTAAGAGAAATAAGCCAGACCTAGGATATCAAAGGTTGAATGCTTTATCCTTTTTATCAACCTTTGCTTGATTTGAGGGAGTTGAAGAAACTGACTGATCAGTTATCCATTGCCACTAAGCCTCAGTGGCACACAACAATAAGTTTTCATGGCTGTTACACCTGAGGTCACTGGCTCTGAGCTGGGGCTGACCAGCTTCAGRCTATGTAGGCTGGCCTCCGCTGGAGCAGCTGAGAGGACTCTGCTCTACTTCCTTCATCGCTCATTCTCCTGGCTTCATTAGGGCACAGAAATGCTCTCTTCATGTCAAAGTAGAAACACGGAGCAAGCAGAAACACACCAGGGCTCTGGAGGCCCAGCCACCTAAGAGGTACACTATCAATTGTGCCTTATGTACAGGCAAAAAAAAAAAAAAAAAAAGTTTAATGAGATGGGGGCATGTGTGTTCTTCCTCTGTTGAGGGGGCTCYAACGTCATCTGACAAGAAATGTGGATCCAAGGTGGGGGAAAATGGGAGTCTTTAATGCCACCATCTACCACRATGGGCTCTAAGAGTCCTCTTGTTGTTAAAGTAAATAAAATCTCCCTTCTTGGTAATTTATCTTTTTCAGGATACCTGGACCTATGGCTTTCTTTGCCATCTTTCAGAAAACATTCCTCTTGGCATTGCTGTCCTGGAGAACTTACCAGAGTGAAGGTAAGRAGTGGAAAGAACAGTAAGGAAACAGGTCACTTAGAAAAGATGAGGTCACTGGTGTTTTGGAGAAAAGCAGTCCCCCCCCCACCACCTTTAGGAATTACCTGCAGATGATGTGTAGTTCACAAGAAGTGATGTGTCGGTATCTCACAGCAACAGTTGCCTTGGTCTTCCTTCCWCTTCCTGTGGCTCATTGCAATGCCTTAATCCTGACTTCATGATCAATGCCTTGCTCACTAGCACAGTTGTGACCAGACCCAATCTGGGTGAAGTTTATGATCAATGTATTTAACCAAGGCCATTGCCAAAGTAGTTSCTTCTCACCTTACTGGGCACGGAAATGGAGTGTGCCAGACCAGTACTGCCTGCTGAGTCAGAACATGCTGTGGTCCTTCAGCTATATTTATTCAGAAGCTGTCAGCTTTGTAAAATATAGGTGAAAGCCACAAAATTTCATGAATCAAAGGAACCCAGTCAAATCTCTGCAAGATATTAAACTTAGTGCTGAAAAGCTGTTTATAGATAAAGAAATAAAATTTGTCCATTTGCTACTTGCCAATAGAGGGTATTTTGAGATAAGTCGATTTTGTAAATYAGGTCAAGAAGAATTCAACACTTCTCAAAAGTTTATGGACTTTGAACTTGTTTAAAAGGAGATCGACTTGAGTTTCTGTTGGTTCCTAAATTTCCATTGCCTTCATCCCTATTTTACGAGACTTTACATTTCCTCTTCCTCTGTTTATTCTGTGCTGGCTTTGTAACAGAGAGTACAGCTCTCTCCTCTTAGGAATTACCCACCCAATTCCTGTCTGTGGATCCTGGAAAATGATACTTTTAAGGAATGTGCACAGAATTTCTCATCATTTCTTAAAACTTCCAAATAAAAAGCTGTTTGGGAAAAGCAGATTTTGTTCTGATAATAAATAGCTCAGTTCTCTGCCTGATATGCTTCAGATCTCATTTGTTTTCAGTCCACGACACAAGGGGAGATACTACTTCTTAYGACTTCTTAAAAATGATTATCTGTTGATTTCTCCTCTGATGTGGGCTATGAGGTGGCAAGAGGATTTCTCATTTGGAGCACCTTGACCTCCTCAGCAGGCTGAGATTTKCCAGCTGAGTGGGGAGCCTGCCCAGTGAGAATGCTTTGTCCTCCGTGCTCCTGATTCTGAGACAGTCCCACCACCCCAACTCCAGGCTTTCCAGGCCACCCCCGCCATCAGCCCCAGGTTTTTGGCACAGCTTTTTTCTCTAGAGAAGTCTCACTACCTGATTCACTATTGACACTAGGCCTTCCGCTCAGACCCTCTGCTCTCAGAGCAGGCCCTGCTGCCCACTCTTCCAGCTTCTTTTGATAGATCAGTCCTGCATTTCCCTATATTCCTACTGGTCAGGCTTCGCTTCGACTGCCCGCTCTGTCTGCCAAGCAGGACTTCTGTGGTCAGCTGGTCTGGTCTTTGTCCTCACYTGTATGGTTTGGATTTCTTGTTTTGATTTCTGCGACATTTGCCCAAGTACCTACTAAACCTTCCCACAAATGAGTGGGGTTCCCACTCAACATCCAGGTGCAGGTCTGAGAATCTCCTTCAGATAACCTGGCCAAGCTACTCCCAGTGAGACAGCACAGAGACTCTCTTCAGTTAAGCCTGGGCACATGTTTCCATCCACCAGAGATTATGACTGCAGCATTTTGGTGTATTTTCCTCCACATCTGTGTCTATATTCCGTAGAGATGCACATATGTAGTTTATAAAATAAAAGTTACATATATTAACATGTTTATATATATATATATATATATATATATATATATATATATATATACACACACACACACATACATACACATATATATCTATATCTTGGGGGTGTTTTGGTTAGTTACACAATGAATACAGGTTGGGTGAGTGCTTCACTTTGATACTAAATTGCCATCTAGAAATAACACTCTATTTCAGTGCTACATGGCATCCCACCTTGTGAATGGATTGCAGTTTCTTTCCTCAAGCAGTTTCAGGCCAGCCAGGCAAGTAGTGGGAAAGCAGGAGGAGAATCAAGTCCAGGTCTGATTCACAAGTCTGGCCACATTCCAGTGTGATGCAATGAGAGCTGGAGCTGGGAACCAGGAGCCCTGGTCTGGCCTGGTGTTTGACCTTGGCAAAGTCACTTCCTGATTTTTAACCTCAGCTCCCTCATCTGAAAAACCAATAGGATTGGATTTAATAAATTTTATGATTCTTTTAGCTCTCAGACTTTACCTGGCATTTTATTTCTTTTGACCAAATTATTTCTGATTGACGTTATTGAACAATCTGAGTACTGCTGGTTGCATAATTTAAATTATGAAGCTTCCCGTATGTCAAAAGCAACATGTYAGAATTTTCTAGAGCCTTTGGAAATAAAGTCTGTAATGGTAATTGACCCACTCRTTCTGCAACCAATCACAGAATATCTATACTGGTATGGTATTAGTCTCTGTTTCTCTGAGCTGAGTAAGTCTTAGTCACACCCTTATTTATGYCACAGCCTACTGAAGACAAACACAGAGGGTAGCCTATTATGGCATGCTGTTATCAGTGCTCCAAACAAGGCCTGAGAAAAACCATGGCAGAATGATGTATTCTGAAGTATCATTATAACAGAGCAAACCTGGTGTTTTAAAACAATATTTGTTTTCAAATATAACATATTATGTGATTCTTAAACTAATACATATTTCAAAACAACATTTGCCAAAACATTTAAAGAAATGTGTAAAGAAATTAAAATCACTCAACCTCATCATTTAGAAATAATGACTGTTAACATTTTAGTTTTACTTTCCTTTGTAAGTTAAAAAATAACATCTATTTTTTTAAAAAATTCAATATGGGGTGCCTAATCCAATTTTTTTAGAAGCATATGTTTCTTAGTCCATTTCTGTTGAAAATACCTGAGACTGGGTATTTTTAAGAAAAGAGGTTTAATTAGTTTACAGTTTGGAAGCTAAAAAGTCCAAGATCAGGAAGACCCATGATGTGGATGTGGAGAGAGAGAGATTATATAGTATGACAGAAAACCAAAGAGATTCAGGGAAAAGGCTCACTCTTTTATAGTGAACCAMTCTAACTAGGGTCCCAATGAACTACATTAAAGCCCTCCAAGAGTAGGGCCCCCAATKACCTAACCTCCTCCCACAAGGCCACACCTCTTCAAGGTTTCACCACTTCTTAACATTACCAACCTGGATATCAAGCTTTCAATACAAGACCCTTTGTTAGACATCCTCAAACCATAGCAGTATGGAAAAGTTTGAGGAAAACATATGATTTAAACTTGGCGACAGAGTGAGAGTGGAGTTGGTGGGATTATAGGGAAGGGGCTCAACTTCTATAGTACCTCAACATTTTTATCATGATTATGTGTATTTAACATTTTTGAGGTTATATCATATAACATAAAATTAACCACTTAATAATCAAAGTGAGTAAATTATTGACATTTAATATATTCACAATATTATATAAACATAACATTTAGTTTCAACACAAATCCGTTACCTCAAAAGGAAACCCCAGCCCTTGGAAACTACCAGTTTTCTTTCTTCTCTGTGGATTTACGTATTCTGGATATTGCATATAAGTGGAATCATACAATCTGTAACCTTTTGTGACTGGCTTCCTACACTTAGCATGTTTTTGAATTTCATCTAATTTGTAGCATTATTCATTTTCCTTCCTATGAATGAGAGTCCTTTGTRTGGACATGACCCAGTTTATTCATTCATCCATCCACTGATGCACCTTTGATTKATTTCTACCTTTTGGCTGTTATTAATGATGCTACTACAAACATCCACAGACAAGTATTTGTTTGGATCCCTACTTTTAATTCTTTGGAATATAGTCCTAAGATTGGAATTGCTGAATCATACTATAATTCCTCTTTTAATTTTCTGAAGAGCTGGCAAAAAGCTTTCCCATAATGATRAGCCATTTTACATTCCCATCAGCAATGTATAAGGGTTGCAAGTTTCTCTATATTTTCTGCCAACAGTTGTTATTTCCACTTTCTTCTTCTTCTTCAAACCATTCTGTGGGTGTGAAATGGTATTTCCCTGTGGTTTTGATCTACATTGCCTTCATGACTAATGATGCTGAGCATATKTTCATGAGCTTGTTGGCAATTTGTATATCTTCTTTGGAGAACTGACCATTCATRTCTTATGMCCATTTTTWAACTRAATTCTTAATCTTTTTGTTGCTGATTTCTAAGGGTTGTTTATATTGTATAGATGCTAGAACCTAAGCAAATATGTTATTTGCAATTATTTTCTCCCATGTGTAAATCATCCTTTTAGTTTCTTGATAATGCCCTTTGATGCATAATTTTTTTTTTTTAAATTTTAAGGTAGGTCAATTTGTATGCTTTTCTTCTGTTGTYCGTGCTTTTAATATCACTTCTAGGACTCACTGCCAAATCCAGGATTGYGGAGTCCACCTGGAGCACTCCCACCCTCCCCATCTCCTCACCTTTACAAACGTCGCAAGGGATGGGTTACTTTCTGTGAAAGTAGCTGTTGATGGCTAGTGTCCTTTGTTTTATGGTTATTCTTATTAATTTTACTTCCCTAGAATCTCTTGTCTGGAGTTTTCTTCCACATTCTGGTGGTAATTCCTTGTCTGGATCTGAAGCTTTGTGCYAAGTGGACCCGTCGATGAAGGAGCTTCCTTCTTGTCTCAGCTCCTCAGCTTATCTGGCTCCATCCAGAGCCCCATCCTGTCATCTGTTTCCTGAGTGTGGGAGTGTGGCAGGACACTGGTGCAGCCATGAAGTATCCCTCTCAGACATTCCAAACCCTGAGACCTTTGATTGGACAAATTTTCCTGTCTTGACCGTTGGGGGACAGTAGAGCAAAGGGCAGCACAGGTTTCGGCATTAAACTGATCACGGTTTAAATTCCATATAAATTTTTTGAAGTTGTTCAACCTCATGGAGCTTCAGTTTTCTTAGTATTGTCAGCTGGGTGCAGGGGCAYATGCCAGTAATCCGAGTGACTTGGGAGGCTGAGGCAAGAGGATCACAAGTTCAAGGCCAGCC